ACATACAGCAGACACAGTTTAACACAATAGTATGACGTGATAGATTTTTGTGGGAAAAATAAAATTATGGTTTAGGAAGAAGGGGGGTTTAGCAGAACCACGATGGGGTCAGGTATTTTCAGTGAATGTGGAGAGACTGGGGAAGATGAGATTTTTCTCCTTAGAGCAGAGAAGGTTTTGGGAGATTTAATCGAGGTGTTGAAGATCACAAAGGAGCTTAGTGGAGTAAATGAAGAGAAACAGCCTCCATTGGCATAAATAAGGGGTTGAAAGTAATTGTTGAAAGAATCCATAGAAGAGAATCTTTTTACAAGACGAGTTGCTGTGATCTGGAACACACTGCTTGAAGCAGACTAAATGGGAACTGAAGCTAGAGAAAGCAAAAAGGTTTGGGACATGGACATCGCTGCCTGGGCCAACATTTCTTGCCCATCCTGGATTGCCCTGGATGGTGTTGTGCTACCTTCTTGAACCGCTGCAGTCCATGTGGTGGAGGGGCACACTGTGCAGCTTTCTCTTCTGCTGGGAAATGTAAAGAAGGGTAAAATCGCTAAAGTCCTACGAGCCCACAGGGCTGCTCTCTCGTTATAGACAGAGAGAGAGAGGCAACTGGTGGTGGTTTAACTGAGGGGCGAGGTTGAGAAGGTCCTTTATGGTAGCCTCAAACAGTCGGGAATTTAATCCATGCTGTTGGCAACACAGACAATGCTGGCAATGACATATCTATCATCAGTTTCCACACCAACTCTTGGAACTCATAGTTTGAGACACAGTTGTGAATAGGGATCCGTTAAAGTCAGTCAAGTTTTTCGAGAAGTAAATGATTCAACAAATAAAGGAAAGATAGTGCATTTTTTATTTATTCTATTCATTCACAAGATGAGGGTGTCACTGACCAGGCAGCATTTATTGCCCATCCCTAATTGCCCAGGGGGTGCAGTTAAGAGTCAACCACATTGCTGTGGGTCTGGAGTCACAGGTAGGCCAGACCAGGTAAGGATGGCAGTTTCCTTCCCTGAAGGACATTAGTGAACCAGATGGACTTTTCCAATAATTGACAAAGATTCATGGTCATTATTGGATTCTTAATTCCAGATATTTTATTGAATTCAAATTCCACCATCTGCAACTGCAGGATTTGAACCCAGGTCCCCAGAACATATCTGGGTCTCTGGATTAACAGTCCAGCAATAATACTACTAGGTCATCGCCTCCCCACATATGTGATACATGTGAGCTGTGATGACATTTGAGAAATTGTTTCATGGGCAGCTTTCTTGAAAAAATTGAGATTGTTGGTTTAATTAGAAATGAAAGAGTAGGCTGTCAGATGGGAAATAAAGATGGACTCTGTAAACAATGTAGGACACACTGGAGTAGGATTCTTTGTAGTGGATCTTAAGGTCAGTGGTGGACGAATCATGTTTTCTTCTTTCTGTGCATAGATCGTTTGTACTTCCATATGGGAACACAAGGTTTGGTGAAGTCATGTCTTTGACAAACAATGTGAGTCTGTGAGAAGCCTGACAGGGTTATTGCAGATGCAGTTTAATCTGGAGAAGTATATTTCAGAGGTGATACAAGGAGTAAAACTTATCCAGCTCAATACATGAACAGAGATAAATGAAAATTTTCCTAAGAATGAAACCATTTTAGAAGTTGTATACAGGGGAATACGGAACAAAAATAACAAACAAATTTTTGCATATTATTAATTTTGCTCAGTCAGGAGGATTTCAAGAAGTTCTAGGTTCCTCAATAAAGGCACAGAGAACACACTGAATGCCTGTGCCAGGTGACTGCGTACACACTGAGTGTCTGTGTCAGCAGACTTGGCCTTGCAGGTCAATTTAAAATCTTTTGTCCTGGTTCCTTTTGGAAAATGACTGGCTGGTGAGACTCAGATCTAGAAAGTTTGTTTCCCTATCTTTACCTGCAGCACAGGGGTGTTTAAGGGCTGCTTCTAAGCTGTGACTTTTACAGCACACTGGTTCACACACTGGCACATCAGGCCACTAACACATGGATCAGGGATTGCAGTCAGTTTATATTCCCATTTTTTGTACATTTCAAGAAGAGAAAAGCACAGTCATATCTATAGGAGATGCTTCTCATCATCTTTTCCTTTTAGGTTTTTCTGTTTGAAGTTTCCCTGACTCTGTACAGTTATGAAATCCCATGGGTCCTCACAGGACTCCACCAGACAGTCAGTGAATTTACATCTGCAATCATCATTTGGCTTTAGCTGTCCTCTTTTAAAAAGACATGTTTGAATTAAAATTTCAACAACTCCATTAGTACTTGGGCATTCTGATCCATATTATGACATTTACCCCAAGGATGAATGAAATGAGATCCATTCTTATTTCATTATGAAGTGTGAAAAAGAATTAAATATATAAAAGAACAAACACAGTCACACACGTTAATTCTCTGAACACCAGGCAATATTAACTTTCTGTTCTAATTGGGTTTCTTTAAATTCTGGATAGCATGTCTGTAATCATTTTTGATTTCCTGACAATGTGGATGATCTTGAAGTAGTATGTTTGAGGGGACAAACTCCCATGAAATAATGGCTTTCTGGGCCTACACTTTTGTGAAAATGCATAATGGTTATGATCAATATAGACTGTGGTCTCTCTTTACCTATTTTGGACATATATCTCCAATTATTTGACAGTCAATAGTAAACCAAGAGCCCTCTTCTCTGCTCTGGATTACTGCTTGTTGAGTATTTGGAGAAATACTCCTTCTATTGGTCTATTTTGGATTCCTTTTCCTGAAGGAACACAACTCCTAATGTGATGTCATTTGCATATTTGACTACTTTATCTGTTTAGACAAAGTTTGGAGCTGCAAGTACAAATGGCCCATTTGTACTTAGCTTTTCAGAACCTGATTGGCATTTCTCAGTCCATACTACCTTTGCTTTCTGCTGTTGCATGTTTGTCAGCAGCATAGCAACAGAGCTGAAGTTTGGGACAAGTTGTTGTTGGAGCTGAATATATCCCAAGAGTGTCCTGATTTCCTGTGTTGTGGGAATGGGTGTCTGTGCCATGGCTTGTGCCTTTTCAGCCCTGGTCAACCCTTGACCCATTATGTATCTTATAAGGGTTGCTTGGGTCTTACTGAACCCTCTGTTTGCAAGATTGAGTCCGGGGTCAGCTGACTGTGTATTTGTTGAAGTGGTCTTCCAGTTGTTCTTTCATTTCCCAGCTGTTACTGTAAACTAGGAGGTCATCTAGATGCACTACACAATTAGATAACCTTGCTACTATATATTTCATTAGTCTTTGACAGGTGGCTAACACATTCCAGAGTCTGAATTGCCTGACTCTGTATTGGGTATAAACTGTGTGGAGTTAAGAAGGTGGAGACTTGGCAGTAATGCTGTGTAAATCTCTCTTGGTACTATAGGCCACTCCACTTACCCTAACAACGCCAACTTCCAGAAAGGGTGCTGGGCAAACATTTGCCCTGTTCGCGGCAATAACTTTTCAGTTGTTAATGCAGAGCCTTGTGGCGATATCCAGCTTGGGCACCAGCACAACTGGGCAGCTCCAGCCTCTGAGCTCTATTAGTTCATTCTCCAGCAATTAGTTAATCCTCTCTTGAACTGGGTCTAGCTGATAGGGATGTGGCCTTCTGAGAGCTTCCACACCTAAGTTGGTGAATAAGGAGTTTATATTTGCTAGTGTTGATTAGCTAGGAACTGGGGGTTTCAATGTGGGCCTCACTCATGTCTCCCTCCAGTTCATCCACACTATCACCCTCATCTCTTAGAGTCATAGAGCATGGAAACAGATCCTTCAGTCCAACTCATCCATGCTGACCAGATTTCCCAAAATAAACTAATCCCATTTACTGTCATAGAGTCATAGAGATATACAGCACGGAAACAGATCCTTTGGTCCAACTCATCCATGCCAATCAGATATCCCAAATAAATCCAGTCCCATTTGCCAGCATTTGGTCCATATGCCTCTAAACCCTTCCTATTCATATACCCATCCAGATGCTTTTTAAATGTTGTAATTGTACCAGCCTCCACCACTTCCTCTGGCAGCTCATTCCATACATACACCATCCTCTGTGTGAAAAAGTTGCCCCTTAGGTCCCTTTTAAATCTTTCCCTGTCACATTAAACCTATGCCCTCTAGTTTTTGACTCTCCCACCCCGGAGAAAAGACCTTGTCTATTTATCCTATCCACGGCCCTCATGATTTTATAAACCTCTATAATGTCACTCCTGAGCCTCTGACACTGCAGAGAAAATAGCCCCAGTCTATTCAGCCTCTCCCTATAGCTCAAACCCGCCAACCCTGGCAATATCCTTGTAAATCTTCTCTGAACTCTTTCAAGTTTCACAACATCCTTCCTATAGCAGGGAGACTAGAAATGCACAGTAGCAATGGGTCTGTTATCTACTTGTCCCTTTCTCAGCGATGGTGATGCTTGACATGACACAGCCTTTGCTTTCTCTCCTGACTTGTGGCCTCAATCAGATCATTTACTTCCCTGAGCATGTCAGCTACTCTGTACGCCACAAAGTGGATTCCTGTGGTTTCGGTAGGAGTACTAACGCGTGGTTTCTTGACTGGAATATTTGGTCCCTGGCCTATCTCAGAGATTTTCAAGTGTTCTTCACAGGCTCTCACAGGTCAATCCAGAACTGTTCTATGATCTAACATGGAGACCTCCTCTCTCTGTTCTTAAAAACCTCTCGTTCATTCATTTCAGGAGCCTTCGTATTTGGTGCCTGAGAAATTAATTCACATAGAGGAAATCCAGCCAGTTCATTGATGTGTCCTTGGTGGTGAACAGAAGAATATCTAGTCCATGATCTTAGTCATGAGATGTACTTGTAGCAGTGCACCCAGATGATTCTTTTTAGGCTTTGGTGGTACCATCCTATCATCCCCCGGGGCTGCAGGAAATACACTGACCTCTTTCTATTGTGTCATGTCTAGGTTACCCAGAATTTCAAGGAATATTTTGGACATGAAACCCTGATCTGACTGGATCTCAACGGTGAAGAATTAGGTCGATCTGTGCTTTAATGGATATGGTTGTCACAGGAACAGCCTCTGGAAAATTGGATGCCATGCCAATGATGGTATAGCTATACTGCTGACCCCCTTTTGTTTAGTGCAGAGGTCCCACACAGTCCACTAACACCATACTAAATGGCTTCCCAAAGCTGGCATGGGAATTGCAGGGGCAGGAGTTTGCCCACACAGGGCAGGTGTGGCGGATTCTGTAAAATATATATCCTTAAAGATTGTGGTCAGTATAATACTGGGTGGTCTCAGCTTGGGCTTGGGCATTTTGCATATACCAACATGCCCAGCCATCAGAATCTTGTGATCTAGTCATAATATTTCACCACTGTATCTATGACACCACTACCTGGTGGATCACTGCACACTCTTGGTTTGCTGGTCTCTGAAGAGGTTTCCATGTTGTCAACAGCAGCTCATTTTGACAAAGGAACATTCAGGGACTGGTCTTACCCCCAGCTTCAGCGTGATCAGTCTGAGCTCATCGTTTTAACAGTGGATTGGCTTCATTGGGCTGCTCCCATTGATTGATCACTACTCTGTGGTCTTCCAGACTCTGGAAGGAAACTGCAGCTAAGCAGACTAGAGGGTCATGGACCACATGACTGTACAGTCAGGAAAAATGCCAAACACCTTCTCCTGCAGCTCAGTAAGGTATCCCTGAGGAAGCTATTATCTTGGATCCTTCTAAGTCACTGCCAAGGACCATATTGATCCCATTTACAGGCAGATTGGAGACAAACCCTCACAGAATGAGCAAATGTACCTGGCATGGAGTCTTAGACCTTCTTGAGGGGAATTAGTTTACGGAGATTTTCATAAGTGGCTTCTGTCTTAAGTGCCGGTACCCACTGGTCAAATGCAAGCTGTTTAAGCCTTTCGAGATATGTCTGGTCAGGCCAGTTTCCCTACACATCTGGCACTAATTGGTATGCCCTAAAAATAGCCTATTTTTATTGTCTCATAATCAGTCATGTTTTCCTCAGAAAAGGGGGAGGATCAACCTCATGCACTTCCCCAAACAGCTTACTCTGCTGTCATTCAGACAAATGTTGGCCTGGCCACTTTAACTGCCGCGCTAATCACTTGAAAGAGGTGAAGAAAGCTTTCACCTCTGCCTCCTCAAATGCAGGATTTCAATGAACAAACTGAGTTGCCCCCACCCTCGAGACTGAGCCGGTGGTGTCTTCCTAGAACACAGTGGGGTTCCTGTTCCTCACTCAAGCTAGCTTTGTTTAAACACTCCCCCACCCTTTTCCCTGAAATTCTCTCTCTTCCCTCTTTTCTTTCCCATTTCTCTCTCTTTCCAATTCCCTGTGTTTTTGTTGAAATTCTAATTTCCACTGTTCCAATTGTGTTACTCTACCCATTTCAGCATCCTCAGTTTCCACCTGGAAATTTTGTGTTTCCTGATTCTTGGGTGAAATACTAATCCCACGTGCCTCCTGAAACTGCCCAAGGGACTGACGTTTAAAATTCTCAAAAGCAACTACCTCGAATTCTACTCAGAACGCACTGGCATCTAATAGAACAGAGAAAACAGAAGAAAGCCCTTTGTAGTTTTTTTTAAAAAATGGTTCAAAGTAACGGTTTACCCACTCAACTTCTTTTTGTTTCACCCGATAATCCAAATATGGAGCATGTGGGTACGGGCCAAGGGCAGGCATATGGAGATAGGCCACAGATCAGTCACGATCTCGTTAAATGTTGGAACAGGCTCAAGGGGCTGAATGACCCGTGTTCTGAAATGACCTGTGTTCCAATTTAAAGTGCCCAGATGCCAGGTGAGGTTCCTCAGTTTTTTGCAATTCTAGGAGGAAAAGTGGGGATGTTTAATGGCTGTTCTCAAGCTGGGACCTTCCACGTACACAAATCCACACAGTAGCATGTCAGGCCACAAACGCATGGAACAAGTGTTGCAGTTTATAACTCCCTTTTTTTGTATGCTCTTGGAGAGGTAAAAGACAACCTTGTTTACAAGGAGACAGCTTCCTGCTTGGTGAGGGGGTAGGGATGTGTGGTTGCCATCTACTTCTCGTTCTTGTTTGATATTTGTCTGGCTTGGTACGAGTGTGACATTCCACAGGAGTCTTACAGGACTCTGCCTGGCAGTTACTGAACTTACATCTGCAGTCAGATTCGATATGCCCGCAAGTACTTCAGCACTCTGATCCTTCACTATGCACCAGGAGCCTGCCAAGGATGGGGAGGAAGCTAGTTATGAAGAGGAGTTTGTGATAAACTGGGATTGGTTTTACTGGTGCAAAGAATGCTGGGAGGAAGTTTTGGGTAGGTTTACAATACTGAATACAATATGAGTGTTAGAGGGGCAGCTACAGAATGTGAGGACAGCATCTGAGACAAATTTCTCTCTGCAGAGACCTTGGAAGTTGCATCACTTTTCCACAGAGAGTGTTTGAAGCAGAGACCATCACATCTAGGTAAAGAAAGCTGGTTGAATATCTGATCCAGAGGGAGATACCAAGCGGTGCGAAAGTTTTGGATTGATTTAGCATAGATATGATCCATATCATCTCCTTCAGATGTGTAAAGGTCAATGGTTTTAATACATAAATGGAATTTGTTTAAATATGGGACAGCCTGTAATTTACAAAAGGAACCATAAGTGTTGAACGTTTAATATGGTGATATATAATTCTATGATATACAGTATTTTATTCTGATACATAGCACTTCTTTGAAATGTATAGACATTCACTGTGATATATCTTGCTTCATTGATGTTATATATTTTAATATATGACAAGGATCTGCCTTCCATAATTGCTGCATTGCCTGGAGCCCTTTCTGAGGTTATGAAGACTTTACCCTAGGACCTCATTCTGATGCATAGTGTTTCACTGCAATCTAGAATTAGTAAGCTAAACGTGGGACCGTCATAATATTTGGGACCCAGGTTTTTACACTCTATATTCAGGACTTAGAATGGGGGAAACAAGGGTCAAGGATCTAAGTTTTCTGCTGATCCAAAGTGTGATGGGAAGGTCAGCAGTGAAGAGGCTGTAGCGATATGGAGAGATTGAGTGAGTGGACAAGAACAATGAATACAATGCTGGGAAGTGTGAAGTTATCCATTCAGATAGGAAAATTATTTTCAAAAACATGGTTTTTAAAATAAAACCACAGGAGATCAAATGCAAGAGGAAATTATACTGGAAATGGTCAGGCTCTAGGAGCATTGATACACAGACAACATTTGGGGTCCAAGTCCATGCCTCTTGCAAGTGGCAACACAACTGGATAAGGTGGTAAAGAAGATAAATGACATGCTTGCCTTCATTGGTCAAGGCATTGAGCATAAAAGTTGGCAAGTCATGTTGTAGCTGGATAAAACTTTGGTCAGGCCAGTTTGGAATATTGTGTATAGTTGTGGTCCCCACACGAATGGGAAGGAAGTGCTGGCTTTGGAGAGGGTGCATTCTGTTAAGTAAATAAATCTTAAGTAAATCATGACAGTAAGCTAGTCTAAATAGTAGTGTGAATGTAACCAACAATTATCGCAGAAAACTCATCTGGTTTACTAACATTCTTTAGGGAAGGAAATCTGCTGTCCTGACCTGCTTTGGCCAACACTTGACTCCGGTCCTACAGCAATGAGGTTGACTCGTAACTGCCCTCTGGAATGACTTAGTAAGCCACTCAGTTGTGTAGGGAAGGGCAATTAATGCTGGCCTTGCCACTAATGCCTAAATCCCATTGAATGAATGAAAGCAGAGTGTAGCCTAAACACATTGAACATAACTTCATTAGTTTTAAAGTTTAAACTTCTCAAAATAAATCCCAGTGTATTGTAATTGTTTTGTTAACCTGCATTACTGCTTTCAATTTCACTTGTGTTTATATAACATTGAGATGCATAGCTTCTGCAACGCAGTCCTCACTCTGATATTTTGTATATTATTGCAATACATATGATATTTACATCACATTCCAGTCCTACCTGTCCACTGTATGTGTCAGAGACATGGACAATGTACAGAAAACACCTCTAATCTCTTGAGAAACATCACCAGTGATACCTCACAAAATTCTGCAACCCCACTGACAGGATAGACGCTCCAGTATCAGCGCCCTCTCTCAGGACAGACGCTCCAGTATCAGCACCCTCTCACAGACCAGACGCTCCAGTATTGGTGCCCTCTCTCAGGACAGATGCTCCAGTATCGGCACCCTCTCTCAGGACAGACGCTCCAGTATCAGTGACCTCTCTCACGCCAGAGGCTCCAGTATCTGTGCCCTCTCTCAGGACAGACACTCCAGTATCAGCGTTCTCTCTCAGGACAGACACTCCAGTATCAGCACCCTCTCTCAGGCCAGACGCTCCAGTATCGGTGCCCTCTCTCAGGACAGATGCTCCAGTATCAGCGTTCTCTCTCAGGACAGATGCTCCAGTATCAGCATCCTCTCTCAGGACAGATGCTCCAGTATCAGCATCCTCTCTCAGGCCAGACTCTCCAGTATCAGCGTTCTCTCTCAGGACAGACACTCCAGTATCAGCACCTTCTCTCAGGACACACGCTCCAGGATCAGCACCCTCTCTCAGGCCAGACGCTCCAGTATCCTGACACATGAATTTGAAACCAAGTTCACCACTTGAAGCTCCATCATGACGAGTGGTTACTAGGATGACAGAGGAAATCTGTAAAGAACACTCTCACATCCTCCCTGAGGAAATGCAACATCCCCACACACTCATAGGAATCCCGTGCCTCACAGTACCTAACCACCTTGAGTGTCTCTGACAGGCCCATGTGGAAAACAGGTGTTAACAGTGGAAACAGCAAAATCCTGAACATCTACCCTGCCCTCTCCCCTTCAAACACCACCTCTCCACCTCCGGCAGGGTGTGTAGATCTATCTTTAGACTGTTCAGTTAGCTTAGGACCCACAACTCCTGACTGAAAGATATACATCCTCAATCCCAAGGGATTGGTTAAGGAGGAGGAGTAGAAGATGCATCACTGTATTCTACAGCAACTCAGTGTGAAATATAAGATCTCACTATGGTCTACAGGACCTCATTGTGATCTATGGGACCCTGGTGTGCTCTGCAGGACCACAGTGTGATCACAGGATCTTAGTGTGATCTACAGATCTCGATTTGATCTTGGGACCCTAACGTAATCTACAAAATTTCAGATTGATCTGTCAGACCTCGGTGTGATCTAAAGGACCTCAGTATGAACTGCTGGACTATGGGTGTGTTCAACAGGAATTTGATGTGATGTACTTGATCTCAGCAATAATGGTGTGAATCATGGGAATCTGCATGATCAACAGGACCTGGGTGACCGCAGTGTGATCTAAGGTACCTTAGTGTGATTGACAGGACCTCAGTATGACCTATGGGACCTCAATGCCATCTACAGGACCTGGATTGAACTACTGAAAGTCAGTGTGATCTATAGGACCTTCGTGTGATCTATAGGATCTCTGTGTGATCTGTATGAGCACAGAGTGATCTGTAGGACCTTCTGGTGACAATATAGTAGCTTGCTGTGTTTTCTGGCCCTTGGTGCTCTGACAGGAGCTGACTGTAATCTGGGTGACCTCATTATGTTGATGGTAATCTATGCTGTAGGTGAAGGTGGATTCTCTTCCTTCAGATTCTTCCCATTCTCAGACAGTGAGCTGTGCAGGGAGCTGTCACTACATGTTCGGCTACAGCCTTGATCAAAAGACCAGATCATTCCTGGGAACAGAGCAGTAACTTGATCAGAGATGGAACAAAGCCGTGCTCAGAAATATTCAGAAGAAATGCTGCCCAAATGGGAAATACCCAGTCTGAGACATCATTGCAATCGTGTGTGACAATGGGAGGATTGTAGCGTAGTGCTATTATCACTGGACTAGTAATCCGGATACTAATTGTTCATAGAATCCCTACTGTGTGGAAACAGGCCATTCGGCTCATTGAGTCCAAACCGACCCTCCAAACAGCATCCCATCCAGATACACTCCCTAACCTGCATTTCCGAAGGATAACCCACCTCACCTGCACATCCCCAGAAACTGTGGGCAATTTAGCATGGCCATTTCACCAAACCTGCACATCTTTGGACTGTGGGAGGAAACCAGAGGAAACACACGCAGAAACGGGGAGAACGTGCAAACTGCACACAGACAGCTGCCTGTGAGTGGAATTTTGGTAATTTGAGGACACAAATTTGTGAATGTCTGAGGAGCCGGGTATTAAGAAAAGGAGCTTTGTACAAAGGACAGCATAGTCATCGAAACCTACAGCTTAAAACAGGCCCTTCAGCATATTGCTTCCACCCCAGCCAAAAATAACCACCTATTTTAATCCCATATTTGTGCATTTGGCCCACAGCCTTGTTATGCCTTGGCATTGCAAGCGCACGCATCAAAATACTTCTTAAAAGTTATGAGGGTTTATGCCTCTACCACCCTTACTGGCAGTGAGTTCCAGATTCCCTCCATTCTCTGGGTGAAAAAGCTCTTCCTCACATCTCCTCTAAACCTTCTGCTCCTTCCCTCAAATCTATGCCCCTGGTCAATGATACTTCCACCAAAGAGTAATGTTTCTTCCTATCTACTCTATCTATGTCCCATCTCAAACTCCTCTGCTCCAAGGAAAACAATCTCTTTTTATAACTGAAACTCTCCAGCCCAGGAAACATCCTGGTAATTCTCCTTGGCACAATCTCCCATTCATTACATCCATCCTATATTGCAGATTCCAGAACTGCACACAATACTCTAAAATTTATTTGCCATGAATTCACCCATCTGACCAGCCCGTCCATATCCTCTTGGAGACTAAGGCTATCCTCCTCACTATTTACCACCTCATCAATTTTCGTATCATCCATGAATTTACTGATCAACCTTCCTACATTCCAGTCCAAATCATTTATTTAAACCACAAACAGCAAAGATCCCAACACTGACCCCTGTGGGATACAACAGGATGCAGACTTCCAATTAGAAATACACCCCTCAACCTGCCCCCACCTCTGCTTCCTGTCAATCAGCTAATTGTGGATCCAATTTGCCAAATTTCCTTGGATCCCATGTGCTCTTACCTTCACTATCAGATTCCCATTTTGGACCTTATCTCCAACAAGACTACATCAAAAGCATTGCCCTCATCTATGCATGAGGTCACCTCTTCAAGAAATTCAATCAAGTTGGTCAGATGTGATCTTCCCTTTAACCAAACAATGCTGACTGTTCTTAATTAATCCCTGCCTCTTCAAATGCAGATTAATTCTGTGTCTCAGAATTGCTTCTGATAGCTTCCTCGCTACTGAGGTTAGACTAACTGGCCTGTAGTTTTCTGGTTTTTCCATTGAACTGTTCTTGAATAACAGAAACACATTGACTGTACTCCAGCATTTCTCCTGTGGTCAGAGAAGAATTTAAAAGTTTTGAAAATGCCCTGTTATTTCCTTTCTTA